CGGGCAGGACGGGGCCCGGAAGAGAAAGGGGACGTCGAGGAATCGAGCGGAAACTGCTCGCCGGACGTCCTGGCATTCTTTTCGCCCTCGACGCTCATGGCGATGGCGGCGGAGGTGCGACGGGCTGGTCTGCGAGGAACCCGCTGGAAGTCGAACGGCCGCGACCGGGAGAGGAGGGTTCGCTGACCAAACACGTTGGAGGCCAGTTGGGATGGTTTGGTTGTGGAATGCAGCAAAGGAGGTTGAAAAGGTGAAGGATGAGGATGGAGGATGAAGGGAAGAGGTGGTCAGATATGGCAACAGAGAGTGCAGCGGTGGTTGCGGTGGTTGCGGTTGAAGTGAGTAGTTGGAAGGGCTGAGAAAGGAAAAAAAAAAAAAGGATGGGCCAGCCCGGCGTGTGGAGGACAGGTGCAGGGTTTGTTCTAGGGTCTTGCCCGGCCCCGAAGCGATGGGAACTAGCTAGTTAACTACTTCGGCGGACTCGCTGCCTGGATAAATAATAACATGGTTGTGCTTCTATCAAGGGGATATCGGGTGGCATCCTTGGTTATGTTATATATATAGTTATATAATCTGTATATATCCTGCATGGCCCAGCATTTCCTCTAGTTATGCCCGATGCCTTATTGCTGAACTACGAGACAGAAATAAAAACCCATATACTGCCCACAGCAACAGGCTGGAGCTTCGATTGAGCTATGTATCTATCCCCGGAATCCTAAAGCTAAACGACGTTGCATAAAAGAAAGACAGAAAGAAAGCATGGGGCAGAGAGGGAGCTGCATGCACACACACTGCACCCGCACGCGGTACGATTATGATTATGATTATGACTATGGTGAGTGTCGATGATGCAGGTACTCTGAACAGTACAGATTACAGTCCGATATCTTATGTATTGATGATCCCAGGCAAAAAGAAACGAAAGACAAAATTCCTGTTCAACAATTGAGGTCACAGACACCACCACATTGATCACCCACTACAGAAGGCCATCAACTCGCCATCACCATCACCATCATCCACAGCCAGCAGATCAATGATGAACACAACACTCCCTCCCCTGGGCCCTCTCCCCTGGGCCCTCTCCCTCTCTCGGCCCGCGTAAGGTGCTGACGCAAGCTTCCCCCGGCCTAGCGTTGCCCGTGGACGAAATCGGGCCCCTAGCCAGCCAATGGGGAGTGTGCTAGTGTCCGCAAGTCCCCAGCAGCGATTCTCACCACGACGATACATATGTACGGAGTATTCTGTACTGTACATGCAAATCCTCCGGCTTGGCTGTTGGTTGCGCCGTGGGGAACAGTACGACGAGTAACTGTAGGAACTTGTAGCTGCTACGGAATGTACTTTTTTGTATATACGCTGTATATGAATAGTTATGGATCCGTTCTGCTGCCCTTCTTCGGTTTGCCCGCCTCCTGCCGCTCCCGGCCTCGTCAGTTTCGATTCAGATCTGCGCACGGAGTACGACGAGGGTGGGTTGTTGTCGTCATGGTTCGTTTCAGAAACGGAAGGACAAGAATGCAGGAAATAAATTAAAAAAAAAAAAAAAAAAAAAAAAAAAAAAAAAAAAAAAAAGGAAAATATATGATGTGGCCAGCGGGTTGGGCGAGAACAGGGGAGGTGCAGGTTTCATCTGTGTACGATCATCGACCGATCGACCGTCCACCGCACGAGACTCGGTACTGAGGGTGGTTTTAGAAGAAAGGGTCGCTAGAGAAGCAAGCCCTACCTTTTTCTCCTCTTAGTTCCCCAGGGGGGTGTGGGTGTGTTCCTGACCCTACCCTGGGAGTGGCGGCGAGCGGCGATCATCCACGGTGCCTGGTTTGGGAAACACTGAAACCATGCACGATCGGTGATGATGACGATGACGATGACGCTGGC